CCAAAATGACATTTAAAAAATAATTCCTGTGAAAAAAATCCTTCATGCCTTAAAATAGCTTGAATGTAACTCGACACCCTTGCTTCATTTAGTATATGCTGAACCTTGAATATGCAAATGAGCCCCGCCTCCACTCACTCACACCAGCTCAGAGATCCCCTCGCTCAGTCCACTTACGGTAAACGCTGCGCAATGGTGTCGATCTGTACAACGTCGGACACATAACGGTAATTAATATGATTAGCCTTTTGCTTGACGTTATCAAACAGCTAATAATGTGTTGCTAATGTTTCACACACCATGTTCCCGTTCGCCATCTCAGAGTCAGACGGCTGGCTTCTAACAATCATCAGAAACGCTTTGAACAACTCAGAACGTCAGTGGAGAAAGGCTTATAGTTCATCATAACATCGTAATATGCATCATACACCCGCTATATTGCTAAATCTAGCAATTGATAATCTATATTGATATTTTTCATATCAACAGAAAAATATACTGGGATAAGCTGTCTTCTCTTGAGACTCCACTGCTTCAGAGCGATCATAGTTAATGATATGCTAAAGCTCACCGGCACATTGATCTGATTGGTCACAAGGTAGTGTGTGACGTCAGAAACACCAGCGATTTCAAACCGTGTTTTTGAGACTGTCTTTGGAGTTTTAAAGAGAAAATACTCAGCAATGGTGTTGACTTTCGAATTTTAACATGGTTTGTCTTAAATCATATTAAAAACATTACATAGACACATAAACAACATTAAAAGCTTGATTTTCACCACAGGGGGACTTGAGGGAATAAGAGGGATGAGTGGAATTATTATTTGTTTTGTTCTAATCTTATGCCAGAAATGCTGTTGTTCCTTTAAAGCTACACTGTGTAATTACTTCCAAGTAATCAAGTATTCTCGTAAGCGTAGAATCTGCCATTTAAAATACAAACGAGCGAGTTGCTCTAATGGCGGTAGCCATGTTGTGCCTCCATCTTGAAAATACATTAGCCAAAGAGGGACATACCTGTAAATTCAAGCTTCGCCTTTCGCGTTTTTACACTCAGTTGCACCGTGACGAATGGGAGGGGGAGATTACTCGCGACTCCCGGCAGATTAGAAAGCCTGTTGAAGATGGAGGATCACACATATTCTCGAGGACATGTAACAGAGTCGCCAAGGAAGCGAAAGAGACAGTGTTGGGAAAGTTCATTTTCTACATGAACTAGTTCAAAGTTCAGTTCACAAATTTTAAAATGAACTAGGTCATAGTTCATACTTCAAAAAATGAACTAGTTCATAGTTTTTTTTTCCATATGTTGCTGCGAGCTTTTTTTTATTATTGCCACAGCCCATATACAACCATAGACAGCAATTATTTTATCGACGGGCAAAGTTTGCACAGAAATGTAAGATTTTTCATATCCTCACCGACCTTGTCAGAAAACTTGTTTAAATAATCACTGGTGGCTGGTGTTGCCAGATTGGGTGTTTTTTTCGCTACATATTAAAGGAGAACTCCGGTCAATTTTAACATTGAGCTCATTTTTTTGTACATTTGGAGTGCTGTCAGTACAAAAACGACAAAAATCGGTGTTGCCTACACCGTGTTATCCTCTTTTTAAAATTCGTTCGAAGTCCACAGTAGTCGATTGTCGAGTTCGCGCGCGCGATCATTGGTAAGTAATATAACTAACGATCGCGCGCGCGAACTCGACAATCGACTACTGTGGACTTCGAACGAAACCAGGAAGTAAATACAGGTATGTGAGCTGGCTGAATAAACATCATTTTTATTAATATCTTTCACATCTATTGCAGTCAGATTGACCGTGGTCACTCTTAATAACACCACTCACATGGCTGTGCACTTGTAATGACAAATCAAGGATGTTAAGAGGCTAAAAGCAGGTTTAGAACTTGCCCCATTGAAGTCAACAGGGTGCGAATTTTAAAAAGAGGATAACACGGTGTAGGCAACACCGATTTTTGTCGTTTTTGTCTGTACTGACAGCACTCCAAATGTACAAAAAAATGAGCTCAATGTTAAAATTGACCGGAGTTCTCCTTTAAGGCCTGTTTCCGTGTGTTTTAGCCGGGTTTTCGCCTGGAAGGCTCTATAGAAATCTGGCACCCTATTGAACGAAGTTAAACTGAGATAGCGTACGTTCACAGACACCAGAATGAACGCATTCACAGTAACGTTTATCAGGCAGTAAATCAGTACGCTCAGTTCACGTTCGCCCAAAATATGAACGAGTTCATGAACTATCGTTCATTGAACGCGTTCAGGCACAACACTGGAAAGAGAGAAACAAAACGGCAACGCGACAGGCAAATCAACAAGACCAAAGTCAATATTGGAGTGGCTATTCCAAGATGGAAAGAGCTCATGAGGAGCAAGGATTTTAAAAGGGACACTGAAGGTGCCTGCATTCTTCTCGACAGGTAATTCAGCCTATTTGTGTAAATTCAAAGTTTTATAGTTGCTTGGCTAACTATAGCATGGTCGTGCATAACGCTAGAATGACGTCTATAGGATACTTCTCCTCGCGTCAGTGAACACTCATGGACGAAGTCGAACTGGAAGCCATGTTAATCTTGGAATAATACGGCCACCGTAGGAGTTAAAACGCCCTTGAAATGGGAAAGTAATATTCAGTTGGTAGTCATATATAATTTCACTTCTATACACTCTAAAAAATGCTGGGTTATTTCAACCCAAACTTGGATCAAATGTTGAAAAACCCAGTAATTGGGTTAACATTTTTTTTTACCCAAAGTTGGGGTTTGTCCATATTTTACCCAAAATTGGGTTAAAACAACCCAGAATTTTTTAGAGTGTAGGTGGGAGAAATTCCTACACAGCTTTAAAGTCGCCATGAAACAAAGGTTGCAATAGTCTTTTCTTCACTATTGTGACGTACAGTATATCCGAGTGAAACGGCTTCTCAAACAAGAAAAAAGTCGGGCGGGACTTGATTTTGTCCATGGGGAATTGATTGGGTGGTTGTGGTTTGCTATTGGTTGATCTCATGTGAGTGACAGGTCGCCCCGCCCTCGCGCCAGTAAACACATCATCAGAGAAGAGAAGTCGCTGCAAGAGGGAGGGGAAGTTATTTTGATTAAAGATTACGAGCGCATTTTAAAAAATAATAATATTGTCAATTTTGATTTCACTGCGACTTTAAATAGTTTGCCAGTATTATCGTTTTATACAGTCATTCCAGTAAAGCCATGCTGACTCTGACTGTGAGATTGTAGATAAATGATTGGGAACTGCCTCTGTTGTTTTCTAGTGTGTATGGCCTTGTAAGGTGGGAAACTGTTGCAAGTCAGGCCAGTAAAGTGTCTCCCCCCTGCTGTGAATGAATCCTCCTCTGCCCAGAGCAGATGTTTCCGCTGCTTTCACAGATTTAGACACACCTGCTGCCTTCAGCTTCAGTTCAAGTTAAGGTGAGTCCGGTCTGCATGAGTTTAAGATCTCCTGGAGTTCCTCAGTGTTGTCTGGAGACTGGATAAAACGAGATCTATTTCAGTATTACTAACTGGATGTGTTTCAGCTGCGTCTCACTGAAGCCCATGGACTCGCATCGTTCTGTAGAGCAGAATTAGAAAATGGTTATTGCCACAAAAGTGCTGGGATTTTTGCTCGCTTGTGTTTATTTGCCTTGTTTCGTGAGTGTATAGATTATACTGCAGTTTGTGCAACTTGGAGCAAAATCAGTGATTTAAAGTTATTAAATCAATAATATCAAACTGATGCTATTACAACTGATTCAGACTGTTGAGTAGTGGAATATTGTAAAATAATTTGTTCTTAACCATAATATCTGGCAATTTTCATGTCCCCATTCGTCACTATTACATTTTTAATGGATTATAGAATTTGTGTACATTTAATTTCTTCCCTAGTTTTGCTTTTATCTAATTTCCTTTTGTTTTGTTTTTTTATATATTTTCTGAGAAAATGTTATTTAAAGAATAGATTGGGAATAATTTTAGAATATAATATCACTGCAAATATATGTGTGGATCATGTGACAGTGGCACTGAAGATGATGCTGAAAATTCAGCTTTCATCACAGGAATAAATTATATTTTAAAGTATATTAAAATAGAAAACCAAAAATCTGTTTTACTGTATTTTTGATCAACTAAATGAGGCTTGATGAGCATAAGAGACTTCAAAAACATTAAAAATAGTATTTTTTCCAATAGTTAGGCCTATTTATTTTTTAGTTCCTGAATGTTTAGGCTCAAATGGCACCGTTTAGCAAAGATGCACAACAAACCGATAAGCCTTAGCCCAACAAAAATGTAAAAGAAGATCCCCATCATCCAGCGGTTGACATCGGGTCATCATGGTGAACAAGAGGGGGTTCTGTCTCTTTAAAATGCCCTGACGTCATTCTGATGCAGAACCGAGGATGACCTCGTGCGCGAGAAAGGAGAGAAATCAAACGTATCATATCACATATAACATTCAGCCCTGGTTTTTGGCAGCACCACTACAGTGGTGGTGTGTGTGTTCATCAGCGCTGTATGTAACGCATAGGAATGCAGCAGGGATGCTGAGAGTGGTGTGTGTGGATGCGCGCGTTGTCACAGCGACAGGCCAGCTTGGATACAGAGCGTCACAGAGAGCGTGAACGCGCACAAGAGAGAGAGCGCTAGAGAGAGAGAGACGGGCAATCAAAAACCTCACAGCATCTCATCTCTCCCGTTGCACACGCTCCCGGAATCACGGGAAAACGACAGCGGAGCCGGTGAGCATCATGACCGCCTTCAGTAGCCGGAATCAGACGCTCGAGAGACCGATAGATTAAACTCGAGACTTCGCTGCCAAAGTCAGCGAGTTAAATCGGCGTTTGTAGCCGTAAAACCGTCAAATATCACGAAAGAGAGTCTTGTTTAGACACATAGAGGGGAAAACAGGTCACAGAAGTGAATTCGTGTTTATTTTGTGTGTTTTTTCTCCATATACGCTATTAAGGGAGAAGCTGACTGACGTTTTTTAAACAAGCTTTTCAACGGACAAATCCAACTAGACTTCATTTACGTAGACGTTCCGTTGATGGAGCGACGCGCGTGCACGATTCTTCACTTTTGAAATCGTTTTCTGTGAATGTGTGTTATGTCGGGGTGTTGTCGGGAGAAACCGTGAAACATTTGCTGCTGTTCTCGGACAACGGAGAATCTTGTGGTTTATTCCGAGCTCAGGCTGATGGAATTGCGCTGACCAACGACTGACAACACAGGGAAATACCCATAGATCTTCAATACAAAGACCTCGGATTTCTGCCTACGGCTCATTCCCAGACAGGTAAATGTATTTCTATGGTTAATTTATTAACAACTAGGCTGATTTATAGTCAGCAGGGTCAGTTGGAATAGTGCATAAAATGTTGTTGGTATAAAGGGAATTAAATGACCGTGTTTTGCTGTTTAAACTGTGTGGTGCTGCAACCTGTTCTGAACCCTTTTCCGAAATGCTTCATCCCCGCGCGTTTCAATTGGGGCAAAACGGGCACGCGCGGATGGTGCTGTCGCGTGTATGATTGTGTGTGTCGGGAAAAAACGTGCATATTGACCCATTTTGATATACGCATTAATCATGCTTTAATGTTTTCTTTCCTTATTGGCCAAAGCACATTCATTTCTATGCCTATCCCCATTCCCCCTAGTTCTGTTAGAAACCAGACACAGTTGTCACACATTTTTTTTTAGCATTATGTCTCAAACCTTGATATTCCCAAACTTAAACTAGCATAGGAATTGTAAAATAATGAATGTCAATTGCAAAGAGTATACCAACCCCATTGAGTTGTAACACCAGCAGAAAACATGACTTTTTTGCCATGGATTTGTGATCAAATATAGGCTACTGTTTATATATTATATATACATGTTCAAGCCATCATCAGATTAAAAGCAGCAAGCTGTAATCGGAGCCAAATTCAGAAAAGTATAAAAAAATATAAGCTGACAGTGTCATCTTTTTGGGCCCAGTAAAGTACAGTTCACCCTGATATATATACATATATGTGTATGTATATTATACATACAAAACACAGATAACATGTTTATATATGAAATGCTTGTTCATTAACAATATAACAAATCCATTTTTTATGTGTGAATTTTGTATTTTCTTATACCTCAAAATTGGTCCTTTATATGTGTACACAGAGACATAAATATTTTACGTGTGATCATGTGTAGTGAATGTCATCCCATCTATTCTAGTCCAATAATAATTTGTTAAATTGATGGTGTTACAAACAACACTGCCCAGTCTCCCCTGCATTTGAAATATCAAAAATATATTGTCTAATTTATTTTCTTATATTTGAAAGGGCTTTGACGTCATAAAGCATGAAAATGAGATTATCAAAGAATCACTCCGGCCCCCAGCATCCTTCTCTGTCCTCCTGCAACACACACACACACACACACACACGCACACATACACACAGGAACATAAACCTATCACCGTATATCAAAGACAAGTAATCGCTGCTTCACTGATGTGCCGAACATCTGATGGGAGGAGAGGTCGAAGCAAGAGCAGCAGTTACCACACACACACACACACACACACACACACACACACACACACTCATAGTCTGAAAGAATGGGCCACATTTATATGCTATCCTAGTATGGCCATTCCAAACCTAGTGGATAGCAGAATTGAGAAGAGACAGAAGCGCTCTGTTCTGTGAGCAGGGAATGCTGATCTCTCTCTCTCTCTCTCCATCTCTCTCTCTCTCTCTCTGGCCCAAATAGCAGATATGGAGCTCACTGTGTCATTTGGGAGCAGCGTAATGGATGGGAGCAACTGTGTGACTGTCCTTGTGTTGGACTGATTGGTTACTATAGATGTTCATTTTTCCACTTGCTGCAAAACCGTATACTTTAAACTGTGTGTAGCACCGAAACAACACCCATTTGTGTTCATTGATATAATGTCATAACCATTACATTGTTGCTATAACTTTTTGTAAGACTTTCCACTAGATGTTGAAACATGGATGTGGAGATTTGCTCCCATTCATAGCCTCACTGATGTTGGGCAAGGGTTTCTTGCATATCATCTAAAGTTCTTCAGTAGGGGTTTAAGTTTTGGCCAAAATATCCTTTAACTTTAGTCAGTTTACTCATTTTCTGCACTCAAATGGCATCTAATTATAACATTTTATTTCAAAGAAATGTATTAATTTTATATAATTTTATTTATTTTCATGGTGCACATTTTCATTCTCATCTTTATATAATTTATTCTCATCTTTATTTCTTCTCAGAATGTAAACGTATCAACATTTAACAAAAACAACATGTTTAAGCTTGTTTAAATTCACAAAGTGGCTCACACATTCTGACTGACATGTAACTTCAACATGTTAAAAGGGTCATAAATCAAATTTACCCTGATCTTTTGACATATAAGAGGTCTTTGTATAAAAACATCTGCAAGTTTCATAGTTTAAAACTTCCTTCTCATTATAAAGACATTGACATTATTTAATCAAACGTCTCGTTTTGATATTGAGGGATTTGTGACGTCACACGGGCAAATTAATTTGCATATGACTGGCTCCAGAACAAGACATTGACGAATAGTTCTACATCATCTCCTCATAGGCTCCGCCCACTGGCGCTCAGTCGCTTAACGACTGACATTTTCCTTCACTGGATGTTTAAAACATAAAACCCATTATAATCACTGACGCTGTCTACACTGATACAGTTTACAGGTGTGTGTTCAGTTTCTGACACTTGAGTCTCTCCACAACAGGACTAATGGACGAGTGAAAGAACGTTTTGTCTCGTCCAGTTTAAACAGCTCATCTGTGTCTCTGTACAAACTTCAGAAGGAACTCAGTTTCAGAAACAAGTGGATGTTTATTATAATGGCGTCCCGGAACACGTCAGAGGATTATATGTTTGTTCGGTTTTATATGGTTAATGTTTTTCAAAAACATTTAAAGGGCGTTGATACTGTTTCCTATGCAGTGACCTTAGCCAATAACTGTCCGTTTACTGACGAGCCTTAAAGGAGCCCCACTTAAAAACTGAACATTTCAGACAGAGGCTCAGAATGAGGGTCGAAAATAATCGGTTTTCTGCACATTTGTTTTTGGGGTTTTTTTTGTGCAAAAAAAGTAAACCTCAAGGAACATGTTAAAATGGGAAACAAAATCCATTTCATGACTCCTTTAAAGATCCCTTGTTCTTTTGTGTCACGTAATGCAGATAAGGTATAATATTACATTTACGGTATGTTGTACTTTTGATTAAATCTCATGTATAATTTTCAAAAAACATTGAGTGGATTGTTATTATCAATTAATATAATTTTTATTTCCTGTCAGAATTTTGTCAACAGTAGCATATGTTTTAATTGAAGCTGATTAATTATGGTCACAATGTCTCATCGTCTTCATTGTCAACTACGTCAAGAACATTTTTTTGTCAATAATTTTGTTGATATTAACTCTACATGTTCTTCCACACCAGACTCTGTAAACCATTTCTTTATCCTCATTACCATGTTGGAACATAAAAGTTGTTCCCAAAACTAATTGAAAGCACACAATTCTCAAGAATGTATTCTGGATGCAATATGTAGACGTGCCATTTCAGCTTTTTGCTGTGTGTCTGTGTGTGTGTGTGTTAGCAGCAGCAGCACCAGACAGCATGTCTTGTTTATTCATGCAGAAGCAGCGGATCAATGAGCACTAATTGATTTCAATGAACTGATTAAAGACAGGGAGGCAGGAGGCCACATTGTTGGAGGATATACGAGCATGTGTGCATGTGTTTTATGTGTGTGATGCCTTGCTGGAGTGTAGACTCTGTGATCTCACAAGATGGAGAGACCAAACATATGGGTGTAGATGCGCTCAGAAGTGTGTGTGTGTGCGTGTGCTGGTCTGGTACCCTGTAACAGATGGGCTGAACTGAGCCAGATAGGGAGTTGGACACCAGGCTCTTGAATCTCCATGTGTTCACTTGATAGTTACTGATTTCTGTGTTTGAATACTAGGACTGAATATGCCGTATTTACCTCAGCATTCGTTCGGAATCTGTTCATTCAGAGCAGCTCCTCGGATTCGTTCATGCTCGAACGAGGCTGTGATGTATGTGTGAGAGTGTGTTGTGTGTGTTGTATTGTCATGGTTGAATTAAGCTGAGGGATAAAAGGTAGGGCTGTCAAAAGGTCAGATCTGATGGCTTCTCCTGGTTCATGTCATTTCTATCTGCTTCTGTTGTGTGTAGGAAGGGGGGCTTACGTCTACAGAACCCATCCAGGTGTTTAGTGGTCTTGGATTAGAGCCGTGTGATGTTGGGATGTAAGGGATAGAGATCGAGGGAGAAAGAGAACGAGATAAAAGCAGGATTCCCTCACATCCTGGATTCTCTCTGGTCATGCATCTCAGAGCTTTAAGTCAATGCTGGCCATCATGTCACCACTCGGCAGCCATTTTAATGAGATCTGTGTCCTCACTAGGGTGTGATGGTCCTCCTGTCTCTTTGTTCACAGCACCCCACTTATCTCTCTCTCTCATAGGCTCTTGTTTTAAGGTTAGAGGAAGGTCAAATGCTCAAAAGAATCGCATTCACACACACGGCTATCATGGTGTGTGAAGTATACTCACGCATCTGTGTTATAAAACAGACCAGTGAAGAGGGCCAAGGGGATTAAAGACATGAATGGACACACACATAGACTTACACACACTCGCATTCACATCCCTCGGTGTGTGAGGCACCTGTTGGGATGCAAGACTTAAAGGTGTAGCAGCTCTCCAAAATGATACATTTCCAAAGACGTTTCCATGCAGAATTCTGTTATATAAGAAGTTTGGGGTCGGTACGATTTTTTGCACCATTTAGGAGGAGAGAATAAGTGGTGAAGAGATGACACCACTTGGTGCCATGCGCCAACATAAATTACACACTTTTCAAACTACACAAGCATGACTGTTCACTGTTTTGCTTTAGTAATAGTTTCATGTTAAATCTAAAAGGAGAATCTATTAGACTGTGGCTGTCAAAAGTTGTCAAATGCGGCTTTATCGAGCTCAACGGCTCTGGCCGCGCTGATATAAACGAAACGCTATTGGCTATTATTAAAAGGGGGAGGGGCTGTTCGATATGTCCCGCCCTGTCTTTTTTTTAAGTGTCTGCGTATTGATTTTTATCTTATTGTTTTGTTATTTTATTTTATTTTAATTTTATTTTTTTCTTGTAAGCACTATGAGATTTGATGTCAAATGTATAGTGCATTATAAATAAAATTCATCATCATCATCATCA